ATCTTGTAGTGTTGTTTTTGGTGTGGTGGGGGGGGGGGGAAGGTGTTTGATATTCTCTAAAAGACAAGTGATTCTTTGAATGGTAACAAAGAGGAGATGGTTCCCTTGGCTTTGTAACAGCTCCATTAACCAGTCGTGGGCACTACAGAAGTGACAGTTAGCTTTTTTCCCCTTTTTCCGGGCCAGAAAATGGAGGACAAAGTACTTCTCTTCAAAACAGGCAGTGGTAAGCTGGAGAGGATTCCTGGTATTTCCTTCATCCCCAGGAAAGCAGGTACAGGTAACTCGGAGAACATGCCAACGTATTCATCTTGAAGGTGAAACTCCACTTCCTTGGGCGTGGTCCTGCAAGTTACCTGGGAAAGACTCAGCTTTTCAGATTTGACGCTATCCCTCTTCCATACTTGTCCTTATTTCTCCCTCAAGGCCCCTCACTGAGCATGCCCTCAGTCCTTAAATAATTAATCACAGCCTTTAACTCACCGAATCCTCTCCCTTTAAAACCCCTATTGCTTGAAGTGAGGATATTTAAGATAAATTGAATGCCATCCTTTCCCAGGGTTTGTAGGTCCACCTGTACTCTCAGTGCCCAAAGTGCAAACCAAAGCACCAGGGCTCAGCAAATAATTACTTGCATTTCCCATGCTCACTTCTGGGTCCTTCTTGTTTAGCATTAATACTGGAACTTTCTGTTCAGAGTCAAACAACTTTCCAGATCTCTCATGACGACATTTAATGGAGGTTTGCTGTCAAGGTCCTCTCTCGCGTTAGCACACAGGTCGATCCCAGACTCCTTCCATTTTGTGTAGCAGCCTATGCAGATGCAATGTCACTAACTACAGTATCCTATCCAAGCTGCATGCAGCTGAGCTGTAAATGCCAATTTCTGCATCCACAAATCAGTGTCTCTCCTCAGCAGCAGGCAGTCAGCTCGATCTGACATCATGTAATTGTGGGACGATACCAAAAGCCAACCCAACAGCAGAATGCACTGGGTACAAGGTCACTTATGCAGAGGTTATCTTCATCGGCTCAAATGCACCTCCCCGGCTGTAGCAAGCAATATGAAAATTCAGCAGAGTACAAATGCATTGTGCTTCTCCCTTTTAAAACTCACCTTTTCCTTAAAAAACACCCCTTAGGACAGAATTGGAGCAACTAATAGCCATGCAGATTGCTTATGCAATCTGGCAGATTAAGTCAGCAGCAATGTTCATAAACATTACAGAGACAGATGACCTGATTTGTTACGGCAGCAACTGCTCTCCAGTACCACTGCACTTCCCAAATCTCGGCCGTGAGGGGAAACACACGGGCTCTCCTGCGTCCCATGGTCTCAGGGCTGCTTTCTCACTCCTTGGCTCCATCCTGCATACTCTTTTGTGCAGCGCTGCGCAGACGTTCCAAGAAACTTAAATAAGATTTATGTGACCATCACACTGCGTGCAGGCCAGCCTCCTGACACCGGTGACGCTGGGGCATGTATCGCAGGTTTTGCTCTCTGCAATTCTCTGTATGAGGCAGAGTTTTTCCTCGCTACACCATTCACATCAGCGGAGCTACCACTAGAAATTACTTTGGCTCCCAAAACTGTTTCAATCTCACCCACAATTTGTAATGCTTAATACTGATGGATCATCATCCACCTTTAAAATTAGGTCTCTTAGTGATGTGCACAGCATGACCTTCAACTCTTACATGAATAAAGTTGAAAGGAAACGGCTTGTTTATTCATTGGAAGAAGAAAGCTGGAAGTGACCTGGAGGATCCTGCTGCTGTCAAGTGAAATGTCTCAAGCAGGCTTGTCCTATCCTATCAAAATCAAAAGAAGTCCAGCCCATTGCATCCGCAAAGCAGCAACCCAGTTTGTAATTGGCAAAGGAAAACAAGGCTTCAGATAACAAGCTGGAGGAAAAAATTACTCTGAAGCAAGACCACATTATTTCAAAACCAGCGACTCTGGTTTCAAGGTATTTTCTAGCACAAATATCTCATCAAAACTTCACAGGAATTAAGTTTTGCCACGGAATTGAAATAATTCTTTGGTTTTGTGACAATTTTTTTCAGCTAGATTTCTTGTGCATTCTTCAGTGCAAATATTAACTACTCTTTCACTTGTTCCCAGAGTGTACTAAAAAAAAAAAAAAATTCCAATGGTAAGAGACAGTTATTCCTAGTGAAGAACTTGGCCCAGCTCTTCTTTCCAAAGCAACAAAAGCTTTTCCATTAACTTAAAAAAGAGCAGGGTGGCTCTGCAGTGAGGATACCAAAAGAGCATCTGTGCTGAACACGGAGTTTTTGTGGTAGAAGGAGGGGGAGGAAGATGCCTCCAGGGAACAAAGCATCCTCCAAATAAACCAGCACATAACGACAGCGTGTTGCTGTGATGTTGAAGCCTGAAAGTCAGTCTCTGGCGAGTGAATATCAGACCAGCAGGTGTATTGACTGAGGCAACCACAGAACATGTAAATGATCCTACTATGAGCAGAGAAGAACAAGGTGTAAAATACAGGTTGTGGTTTACCGTGAGAAACGTACACACCTACCTTTGAACCAGGTGGCGCAGTCAAGCCTAAAAACGCATATACCGCGTTGTTCTCTCGAGCTTCAAAGAAAGCTTCATAGTCCTTCACCAGGGGAGTCCGGGGAGGGGAGCGGAAACAAAAGACAGAAGTATGAATCGTCAGGAAAAAAAAAAAAAAATCACAGCTCAATTCAGTGTGTTACCCAACCCGCACCAAGCAAACTGCTTCCTGTGGCTGAATGTAAAATTCAGAGCATCACCTCAGGTATTTATCGTTAGCATGGATACTATAGAAATTGTACCGTCTGAAAAGTGACAAGCTGGGGATTCCAGTATCTGTAGCAACAAGATGCTGCTGTGAGGTGCTTCCGCCTTTCCCAGAGGGCCAGCCTCCACAGCAAGGCAGCTGTCACCACCTGGCACGGATGTCCCTCCCGCAGGAACGGGCTGAGCCCGCACCTTGTCACCAGAAACGCTGACGCCCACAGGCACCATTGCTAATAACTGGTGAGCAATGGCAACTGTGCAACCGTGGGCGTTAACTCTTCAACCTGTTAAAAGTTAAACTGAAAGCTGTAAGCTGAGAGTACATCCCTTCCCATCATGTTTCCCATGAATGATTAGTCTACGCAAATGAAGGGAATCAGGTGGCACTGTTCATTGTACTCACAGCGCACTACAGTTGCTCTAAATATACACGCGGCAGCTTCCCAGGAAAATTAAGGTAAAAAACAATGAAATAATAAAAGAAATACCAGTGCTTCCTTCTCTGCCCTTTTTTATATTTGAGGCAGAACGCAGTGCTGTACAGAGTACAAACAGCACAGCTTAGTTGTCTGCTAAGTTAGGAAAGAGCAAGCAAAAAGCCCACAGTGTGGCTCAGCAACAGCAGTTGCCAAACACCGACCAAATGCACCCAGAAGATTTGTGCAAGTCCACCATCGTCCGAGTTACCACATACTTCCCTCACTCCGATTTCCAAACTTGGCACGTATCTGTCCTATGACTTTCCTTCTCTCCCTTTTCAACTGAAGCAACAGTCCCAGCTTTCTCCAGCTTTCCTGGGGAATGCGTTGGTGCAGGAGTCCTGGCTGAGACAGCCAAGGCAAGGCAGCAGCGCAGAGCAGGCTCAGGCTGGGGCTGAAGTCAGGGAGAGAGCTGCCATTAAGGGCAGGCTGCTTCGCATGCTTGTCTGGCTGGTAGGGAAAAGCCTAAGAAATGGGAAACGCTGTCTGAACACAACAGGGTGTTCAGAGCAGGGGCAGCTCCAACAAGAGGCTGTTGCAGCTGGAACAGAAGAAAGTACGGGGAACAGAGGATTCAAGCTGCCTAGAGATCAGGGATGTCAAATTACTCTTCGATTTGTACATGTAGCATTCGGGTGCTGGTTTGATAAAAATGTGTATGATTATGTTAAAGCCTCCCAGAAGCCCTTCTGTTGACAGTACTGGGGCTGCTTGATAACAAAGGGGTTGTTTATCTTGCTAGTGCATAGTCCGGCAGCCTGCATCTACCAGGAAAGGAATGCCTGTGACTAAGGAGCAGGGTTCATGCCAACTCGCACGGCATCTACAGTTACAGCCTTTCTGCTGTGCACAGGCCAATAAAAGTCAATTTGCTCACTCCTCTGCCAGTTCTGCTGCATCAGATGAAACAAACAGGGAAGTTCATGCCTGAGATGCATCAGATAAAGACATAAAGAGGTTCAAATGTGTGGACATAGAATTAACTTTTACCTTCCTGAAAGCTGAACTGTAGTAACTTGAATCCAGCTACACAAATTGACCGAACTTTGGAAGTTGAAAGTGACATCAAACCAAAATTTTGGGGATGAAATACAGCCATAGCAAGAACTGGTCTGAAGCATCTATACCCCTCTCCCCAAAATTACTGTATACAGAACTGTCATGGGTTGCAGCTGGGGATACATTAGAAGCATCTCTGATAAGCAAGCATCCAGACCTAGGTGCACACACCTTTCTCTCCCCCCGTCCCACACTACTGAATAGCAAAGCCCTGTTCTGCTGCACAGCTACAGCAATGCAGCAGAAATCTGGCAACATTTCACTGATAAAGGACAGCTGCACAGCATCCCTAAAGCTCTGGTACACCAAGGGAGAAAGGTGATACTGTTGCAACCAGACTTCCTACTGGTACAGAAATATTTGCCTCTTTTTGTTTGTTTGTTTTTAAAGAGATAACTGAACAGAGATTTTCAACTCTTTGCGACTGGCCCCTTCTCAGCTTTCAGCTGCAGACGACTATTGATCATTACATTTGTCGCTCCAAACCAACCTTTTTCTATGTCAAAACCACAGTCAGTAAAATTTTGAGCGCCAAGCGGTACATTAGCTCACTGTGGATATTGTTTCAAGTTCTGCTTTTATTACAAGCAAGAAATCCTTGGCGCATTGAGAATGATTTCTTTCAGTAGCCACAGAATTGCCTCACAAAGGTCCAGAACTGGCAGGTTCTGACTTACAGACTTGGCAGGTCAGGACCAGGCTGCAAAATAACTTAGAAACCAAGACACGGCACCAGAGGAATGCATACTGTGAGCTCTTTTCAGAAGATATTAAGTTTTAAAAATAAAATTAACAGTTAATCTAATAATCATTCGAGCACAGCCTGCTGCGTAGAAGTGCTGCAGGGCAACTTACTTTTGATCAAGCATTAAAATAATGACAAGTAGAAATTGTATTTGCAGTATGAGTTTTCATCTGTTCAAGACGTTGGAGTAAACGGACCGCAACAGCCTTCATTTTGCAAGCAGTACACAAAAACGGATCCCAAGAAGGATCAGAAAATTGATTTATGGTCATGGCAGACATCACGGCATACAAGCACTTATTTTGGAAGATGAACAGACTACAGAGCTATCTGCGCTCCACATATTGGCAAACCCCGTGTAGACAGCACAGATCTCTGAACTTGCTACAGAACATAAGGTTGATGCAACAGCGCCAGATTTCTGTGAAGTGTTAGTTCACAATCATGGTGAACGTGAGAATTAAAAAAAAGCTGTAAACTTTCAGAACCGTAAGAGGGGGGAAAAAAAACCTACAGGGAAAAAAAATATATATACACTGCGAGGTGGTGGTAGGCTCATTCCAGTAAGTAGCACAATGATCTGAGAATCAGCAGGTCCAAATTTTAATCTCTCCTCTATGGCGAAACTGGAATATTCATGAATCAATTATTATTAAAAGACCAAGAGGAGGCGTAAATGTCTAAGACCTTCCACGCCCTTCCCAGTTTGCACACTTGACTGTACAGCCGGCCAAGTCCTTTCTTGCTGATCAGAACAGCGAAGTACAGACTACGGCAGCGAGCAAGAGGACCGGGAGGAGAAGATTCTATGATTCTGTGAAGAGATGGAGGCCTGGAGCCGTGCCTTACCCCGAGGTACCGGCTGTCGTTGAAGAGCCGGGGCGGCAAGGGGTTCCCGCTTGCTGGCCGGCTGTCTTCAGGGACGTTCTCGCGCATCCATTTCCGATTCTCCTCATTGGCGGCGATATCCTTTTCCTCAAATTCAATTTTGTTGGCTTCCAAGAAACCTAACACATCTTGTTGCTGCTTTTTAATCTGTCACAAAAGAGGGGGAGGGGAGAGAAAGCAAACAAAATCAGTCAAACCATTTCTGCTGCTGCCAATCATGCAATGCCAGGGTTCAATGCAGAAACAAGGGGATACAAAACAGGTTGAAAATGGAAGCAGTAAGAAAATTCTTAGAATAAGAGAGTATCTTCTAAAGAGTCCTATCTGAGCCTTGACTTGGCTCCTATATAATTGAACAGGCTGAATTCTAAGGACACTGTCCCTATACACATGTGAGTGTGGCGAACCTTAAAGGTCTCCAACCAAAAGCAAAGGTGCAAGCAGTCCCCTTGCAGAGGCTGTGTTGTCCAGGCCTTACAATTAATTCGAGGGAACGTTGTTTTTTCAGGTGCAGCACAGTTTGCTGGAGGGACATCTGAGGTACAACCTGCTTCCTTCGTGTCCCTGGAAGCACAGCCTGAACCCGCCCTTCCCAGAGTCCAGGTTTTTGTCCTCCTCATGTAGGCTATGCACCTCGCTGCCGACAGAGATCTCATAAAGTCATCAGTAACAGTAAGATCTCAAAGCCATTTTGGCTTGTGGTTTTTTGGATAAAATAAAATCCCCTCTTTTGCTCTGCTCCGGGTTTCAGCGGCGGCAGGTATGGCCTCTGGAGAGCTGCAACCCTGCGTCCCCCGTCCTTGCTCGTCTCGAGGAGAAGTTTCGGGGCAGCCAACTGCACAGGCTGGATGAGATCCCACACCTGATGCAGCCCGTCCCCTGCGTACTCGCACAGCACCCAAGTGAAAAGCGGGATCTGCGCGGCAAAGGCTGTGCTGGCTTTTGACAGGAAAGGTGGGTTTCATTACTGTCATGTACGAATTATTGACTTCCCGATAAAGAGATCTTCTGCTTACGCTCTGTTCTTCCTCTGCATGACTCTACCACCATAAAGGAAATTACAACCATACGCATCCTGGCAAACAATAAAAAAATGGGATTTAATAGGAAATTTGTCCTCTTCAAATTATTCCCTTCGCTACAAAACCAGTCCAAGGCCTGGCTTTAACCTAATTAGCTGAGTGCAACAAAAGCAGCTCCTCATACAGATGTTGCACTGCTTCTAATTCAGGTCAGCCACCAGCTTCCCCGAGCAGCCTCTCCATATACGGCGAAGGGAACCCAGGCAGCTCCCGGCTCGCAGCGCCGAGGTCAGGGCAGAGCCAGCCGAGAGCCAAATATGGTGCCTGTGCCCCCGGCTCGAGCTGCCCCGGGAGCCGGAGGGAGGGCGCGAGGTTTTAGTGTAGGAAAAGTGCTGCTCCGCAAGGGTGCGGTTTGGGAGAGCAGAGCCCGGCGTCTCCAAAGAGGAGACTGCCATGCCTCGGCAGCCTTTAAGCATCCATCGACTCGCTCCGCAGCGGCTCCTCTGGAGCCATCGCTGCTGGCTGCGTGACAATCCATGACAGGGAACCAGTCCAGGCTGAACTACATCTTGGGTGGGGTGGTTTGGTTTTAAAAAAAACCTGGCTGGACAGATGTCCCTCTGCATCTAGCTCAGTGTAGTGCAAAGGGACCAAGCCTGCTCTCCCGATGGAGGAAAAACGTGCTCCCAGCTTCAGCGGGGAAGCCGCCTGCCCAGGGCTGCAGCCAACGTAATTCCTCCCAACATGTCAGCAGAGGAGCCGCTGAACTCGATTAGCGAGCACCCTTGTACCCTTAACCAGCAGAATATTGCTGGGCATTAGCCACTTTTCATCATGGCTAAAAATAAATGAAAATGGACAAGTTAATACCAGCCTGAGGAAATAATTCATGTTACAGGCTGTATAGAAAAACATTTCTCAGCAGACTCGAATCCACTGCTAAGAGATTTCTTCGCTTGCCTTTAATAACAGGGGTCACAGCAGGAGGGAGCAGTTGGGGGAAGTTTTTCCCCATCGTGCCATACAGCTCAGAGGGAAGAAAAAAAAAAAAAAAAAAAAAAAAAGAGAGCACTTCCTTCACAAACTATTCTGTAGGACTCAAATAAGGGAAAGGTCTTTGTAATTGTAAACTCCTCTGCCAGCGGTCAGTATCTAAGGCAACATGCTGACCCGGGAATAAGTGGAAATTTTTTTCCCTGAACTAGTTATATTTTAATTAACCATTTCCCAACAGTTGTTAATTACAGATTCAGCCAGTTTTCATTAGTCTCAGGTCCTTAACTTGTCCAAAATCTGCTGCTTAGTGGGAACACACTCTGAGATGTCCCAGAATTTTTAAGAAAACCAAGTTTTTACCCAATCTACTATTAAACCATGTAAAGCAAGAGCTCTTAAGTTTGACAGTAATTAGCATTTTGATCTCCTGAGAAGCCTCCTTAGTTTTTAAATCAGTTTTACTATTAGATTGCCTCCTAGCCATCCACACGTCCTCACACTGCTCTCAGCATCTCAGCTCGGTCTCACAGCACAGCCCCTTCCCAGGCAGGCTCCGCACATCCAGTCCCTTCGTGCAGCACCCGGTCTGACAGGGCCGGACTGTCGCAGCCATTAAGATGCTTCTTTACATGAAGAAAATGCCTCTGGCTACCCTATGTCACCATTATTTCACATGATGAACTTTAAATAGAGTTTTCCTCTTTGACATACGTATGCAAAACCTCTCTCTGAACGCTGCCGCACTGTCTGTTTTGCTGTCTTTTCACTCATTCTCCCAGCTTCATGGAGCAAGGACATTCTCTGGGTTCTTTTTTCAGCTACAGGTAGCACAACCAGATCCCAAGTTCACGACCGCGGCTCCGAAGGGCTATCACAGCAGATAACCCTCTCTGGTTGTTTATGAAGAGCTAGTGAAGCTGGAAATGTATTTTTTCTGCTAGAAAAGGCACCGTGTGGAAGGCAAGCTTGGTCTCCGTGTGGCGCTCAGTCCGTCTGTGGTCAAAGGAGGTAATTCTCTAAAGAACTGTAAGGAAAAGCAAGGAGCTGGTGGTGATGCATGAGTAGTATTAGTTTGAAACCCTAGTTTTCTGGCCAAAGGAAAAAAAAACAAGTTGGAAGATTAAAAGGCGATGTCTTCCTCCCAGCTCCTCAGACAAGTCTTCCAAGCACGGTGACAAGCACTTACACAGGAGCATTAAATGCTCCAGAGAAACACGGCACCAACCGCTGGGCAGAGCAGACACCGAGCTGCCGGATCGCATTATTTTATGGGATTTTATTTAGAAAACTTCTATTAATCTCAGGCACTGGAATACCACCAGGAGGGAAGTGCCTAAAATAGAGCAAGAGACGCCTGCTGCTGCTTCAGGGTATTTTGTCTTACTCGAAAGGGCACGCACTCTCCTCAGGACAAGAGCCTGGAAGATGGTTCCTGCTGCCCATGTTTGGGAAGGAGCGAGGAGCCTTTCTTCAGGATGCGCCTGTCAACACGCAGCACTCGCTTCCCAAAAAAACCCTCTCTCAGTTGCCTAACCGGGCACGGACACCGGCCAGCGCCCTTCCAGATACCGCATCTCGTCCTACGCAAACAACTGTCATGTCTAAAGCTATTTTGGCCTGTTAGCTGCACCTAACCGCAGTTTGCAAACACGAAAATCTTTGTTTATACTGAGTGCTCCTGACAGATTTTGCAGGGCAGAGAGTGCCAGTGGAGAGCCGAGAACGTGCATACAGTCAGCGCAGGAGCCGGGGAGCCGAGAGCAACGCCGCTGTGGCAGGGTCCTGAGGCTGCGGGACCAGGCACTGGAGAGGCAGAAGGACTCGTGGATAGATACAAAAAGCACAAGAACAACAGAGAAATCATGTACAGGGATGGGCAGACAGCTGCAAGGACGGAAAGAGGCTGTGGGGAGGAGAGGATGGGAATGAGCACAATGGATGGAGACAGGGGGATAATCCCAGGGATGGATGTGGGATGGAGATAGAGGGATGGAAGGAGAAGGGGTGGGGTGGGGAGCAGCAGAAGGCAGCACTGCCGAGAGGAAGGCCGCATCCTGCTGGAGCTCACCGCTGCCCTGCTCGGGGAAACACGGATGCCCTCGTGAAAGCCAGTTTTGCTCACAGACGGCTTTACCCCCCACCCCCAGAAACACGCACCTGGCTTCTTAGCCTGAACACACCGACTCACGCTTCTCGGGGCATTCTTGGGGGAAAAAAACAGCTAAAATTACTCAAGTGAGTGGAAACGTCATCCTTTTTGCTGACATTCCTAAGATAACGTTGAAAGGAAACATTTAACCGAATGGATCTATTTTCACTTGGGTTTGGCTTTCACTGTCTGTTCCAAAGACAGAAATAGCTTTACAGCAAGTGCTTGGAGCTTAAGCAAAGTCTCGCCACCAACCTATAATCTTCACCATACAAAATCTGCACAAGCAACATTAGAAGCTCATGCTTCCAGCAGGCTTTTTCTTTTTTAAGATACCCTCGTGTATCAAGATTCTCTTCCTTCCCAGTTACAAGCCAATCACGAAACATTAAGCTTTCAGCAGAGCATGCGCGTAGAGTACCGCAATGAAAATGAGTAGTTTAGCATTATTGTCCCTCACTTGAATACACATCAGAAGTTAAATTTACTGTTCTAAGATCTAACTCGCATCGGTGGATGACGTCAGTAATGCAAGAGAAACCACATCCGAGCTGCCAAGAGTAGAGACGGGTGACATTTTCCAACAAATCACAGTCCAGGTTAAATGGAGCTTTAACTCCAAAATGGGCAAAAAACTTTCCAGAAAATGCCGCAACATTTGAGACTCAATACTTTTTTTCTCCTCCAAATCTCTACTCATGGGGAGGAGTGGGGGGAACCCAAATGAAAACACACTCGGCTAAAAGACAGTAAACAGAAAGGGGGCCAGTGCGATGCTGCAGGACCTTGGTCCAGCGAGCAGGCAACGCTCCATCCCCAGCCCCGGCCAGCACCCTAAACTGGCTGCCCAACAGCCAGCCCCTGCTAGCACTGCCCCGCTGCAAGGAAACGGTTGTTTTAAAGGCTTTATTGAAATGAACTTCAAAGAAATTTCCATCTTATTTCATATACCCAGGCATACACATACAAAAGAACAGTCTCGTTTACACTGCTGGCCAAGAGGGGTTTGGGGTTGTTCTTTTTTTTAAAGCCTTGCCATTTTTTCAGTTTATAAATAAATTCGTTGTTGGACAACAGACATGTTTTGGAAATCTATTTATGGACCACTGGAACCCAAAGTAAGTTTACAATTTTGATCACACAACAAACTTCTCCCTGCTGAGAACGCGGCTGCAGCTCTGCCGTTCTGGCACTCGGCAGTCTCCTCCGTTCCTGTGGGTCCTGTGTCCTGACCTCCACGTAAAAGAAAAAAACACAGATTTACACCCCTCCCCCCCAAAAGATGCGATTAAATGGCTCATACATTGTTGTGAGGATTTAAAAGAACTTTAAAGAGATTTCCTCCAAAGTTCCTGGCCAGGGTTGTATCGTCGCTTACAGCCTCCAGCTCCTGCCGAACGCGTGGCCGGAGCTGCCTCTCCCAGCCTGGCAGCTGAGAGCCAGCACCAGGACAACAGAGAAGCAACACCTTACAGCGCATCTAGATCTTGCACAGTCTCAATTTAGTTTAAAGATAAAACCAGCTTTAAAAGGTTTTTTTTTTTACCATTTCCAATTCCAGCCTTCTGGGTTCTAGATAAGGAAAAGCAACTCCATCTTTAAAGCAGTTTCCTTTTAAGCCACTGATGATTTTAAACAAGCTGTTTCATCGTTAGGGAGCAATTCTTTAAATCACAGGGGATATCAGCTTCGTGCAGAATAGCGAAAAGGTTCAAATCCCCAGATGATGCTCCCGTTTGCAGCCAGACTTGTAACCATCAGTTCTTCAAATGGTTCAGTACCTTTTGAAGACTGATAAGCTCAAATTTAAACAGCGACCAGGAAAAGCGCAGCAAATCTTCAGCAAAGTCCAGCGGCAGCCAGCAGCGCCGTC